TTGGAAATATGTGTTCGTGTGACCTTCTGTGGCTAAAAATATAATATGTGACCAACTTTTTTTTATCTGTGACCTAAAAATTATATAATCCGTGACCGTGAAAAAATCTGTGACCAATTAATTTAGAAGTCTGTGACCGTGTGACCTATAAAAATGTTGTGACCAAAAATCAATATTAATATGTCAAATATCTAATTTTAAAAATTTGAAAGTTGTTTTCTTCTTTTTGAAATATAATATAATAAAAATAGGATAAATGAATTTTTCCCTAAAATTAATGAAAACTTTAGCCCATCTTTGGCCCCGATTTTTTTTTTCAAATTTTTGAACTTATTTGCAATCCTGCATTTTATAGGACTTATAATTTTTTTATCAACTTTTAACTTTATATTTTATCATTTTTTTTTATCAAAATTTACTAAAAATTGATTTCAGCAAAACAAAAATAGGGGCTTAATGTTACCCTCATTTAATTCTCATTTTCTAAAACTCCTTTCAACTACATATTTCATAAAATTTACAATTTCTTAACCACATATTTTATTAAATTTTATTAACATATACTACAAGCACTTGTTTGATGGCCATTTTTTCTTAAAAATAATGTTTTAAATAGTAATTTTTAGAAGAATGTGTGATTAAAAAGTAGAGAAAAGTTTGATTTACGTGTAGAATATTTTATTGTGTAACTGTATGGTTGAAAATAAGTATATATATATAAAAAAATTTCAAATAATGGTTGTCGAATATGGGCAAAATTTGAATTTTAACTTAATTAAAGAAGGGTTGGTTCAACCAAAAACTGATTATAATTTAAATCGAAGTAAAAAATTGTTTCTAACCGTATATTTTATGACGTTCACAACTTTTTAAGAATAAATTTTATCAAAATTTATTAAAAATCTTTTTTATTTTTTATTTTATTTATCAAAATCACAATTAATTACCCATCACATGACCATAAAATTCAGTACCAGAAAAATAAAAATAAAAAACTGTATCAATCGCGTATGCACAAAAACTTCCTATGAAATAACGTGTACCAAAGAAGGACTTGTATATTTTCTATGATGGAGAGCGATTGAAGTTTGCCATTGGCTCATTTCTGTTTACACGTGAGTTTCACGCCCTCATTACTTTCTTTAAAAATCCCAGATTTTTTCCCATCAAAAGCTATAATTTAACTCCCGACGACCCATAAATTCCAGTTACTGTTGTTATAAGGTATTTATTTCTTTATGTTTGGGGTTGTTTTATAATTGTTTATCTATATATATATTTTTTCTTGGTAGAATGAAATTTTCGTAGGGTGTTGTATGTAGTGAAAATGGTAAGGTTCTTTTTCTAATCAGCAATTTTTGAAGATTATGCGGAAAAGATGCTGAAGTTTGGAATATCTGAGTTTTAATGGAGATCATATTTCTGGTATTTAGGGCATATTCTTGTTATTTCTTGTGTAGTAAGCTGAAATTTTGTGTTAAAGAAAGTTGGTCGATTTTTCTTTTTTGGTATTGGGAAAACCCGCTGGCTTGATTTATTCATCATTTAGTTGCGTGAATAAAATAATTTGTTATGAACATTTGTTTCCTACAATTGTGTGAACACGAAGTCTTCATGCGTGTTCATTTTGAATGGCAACAATTTCTTACCATTTACCAGTTGCTTAGTGTGCTCGCCTTTATTCTGATCACATATATGGATAGTAATTGTTACTTTTATATGCTCTTTTAGGCATTTGAAATTGAAGTGGGGTGTTGGATTTCTTCTTCGTTCACTTTTGAGCATTTGTACTTCACATTGAGGTAGCATTGTGTTAATGGCTGCTGCATCTATGCGAGTTTGTGGTGGGGTTGTCCCTTTCCTTTTAAGTTCTGGACTTTATTTTAGCAAACCACGGTCAGAATCTAGATCCTCGGTAAAATATAGAAAGAGAACGGGAGCAAATCATTTGAAAGTTCTCAAGTGTAGCATTAGTATATCTCCTTGGTTTTCTCACGACTTAAGTGGAAATGTTGCAACAACCCAAATACGGTATGCAAAATGCAAATGCCAACGAATTGAGAGTGCCAGTGGGATAAGTTCAGAGGGTGGAAATGGATCATGGTTTGTGGATAATGCGAAGGAGTTCAATTCAGTTAATGGAAATATGCCGAATGCTCTTGAATTCAAAGAACTCAGCTTGAAGAAAGAGGTGACATCCAATAGTAATTTACCTGATAATGGCTCTGTGAGAGATACCTTGCAAACAGTTATTGCTGATTCAGTTGAGGATGAAGCATGGGAGCTACTAAGGGAATCTATTGTTTATTATTGTGGCAATCCAGTAGGCACAATTGCCGCGAAGGACCCGAGTAGTTCCAATGTTCTGAACTATGACCAGGTCTTTATTCGAGACTTTATACCTTCTGGTATAGCTTTTCTTCTGAAGGGAGAATATGATCTTGTTCGCAACTTTATCCTTCACACACTTCAGCTACAGGTAGACATGATTGTTCTGATCTACTGATTATTTTCCTGCCAAATTATTGCTTAACTATTCTGGCTTGTCTTGAAATGCTTGATTACTGACATGTCTTTGTTACAATGAAAATGAATTCTTCGTCTCTCACAATTCAACTGATTGTGGTCATTGAACCACTTCATCACTTTTATAATTTTGTATTTTAAGAAGAGCAAATTATTTCCATTCCATTCCAATATAATCAGGTTATATTTTTGGATAATGTATATAATTATTGTACATAATGGATTACATAGGCCCATGAGGAAGAAATTCGACCGTGGATGTGAAGTGTGAAAAAGTAAAAAATTGTAGACTACCGATAGATGCGCGCCACATGTTAATTATGTAATGTATTATATAAATGATTATGTACTTGTAGCATGATCCTATATTTTTCTATCCAGTGATTGTTAAGGAAACCTATTTATGTTGATTTATATCTTCTGGACGTTTAATGTTCGGTTTTGTCATTTTAATAGAGATATTTTTATCTTGAACAGGCATGATAGATTTTAATTTCTTATGAGGATTTTAAGAAGATTCTCCTATTTTGTCAACCTCCAGGTGATGCTCATATTCATTGAACCTGGAAACTAACTATTTACGTAATACCAAGTGTAACAGTAGTTACTCTTTCCATCACCTAGCTGAAATATCATTAAAGGTTTAGCATCTTAGGGAATGAAAAAAAAAATTAAAAATAAACCTTGTCATGCTAACAATCTTAAATTGGATTTCTCCCCATGTATTGGAATTGGAGATCCGTACTATAAATCTTCATAAATCCCACTGTCAATAAAGGATAGATTAATGGAAAAATGTAAATTGCAGCCTAATTTCTTTCCATGTAGTTGAGAACTTGCGATTGACCAAACCATGTTGACCCTTTGTCCAAATTAACCTTCTTAACTTAAAAGCCTTCCATAATTACTGCACGTGTGACAATGAATCAGTGCTTTTAGGACAACAGTAACAAGCTTTTGATCTAACATAAAAAGCAATGATGGTATATTTAGTGCATATCGAAATGTGCCTTAATAATATTTGTGCGAAGTTTATCCTTTGAAGGGGAAAAATGGTTGAATTTAATCACCTCCCATTTTGCAGAGCTGGGAAAAAACCGTGGACTGTCATAGCCCCGGTCAAGGGCTGATGCCTGCCAGTTTTAAAGTGCGCACAGTTCCTCTGGATGGTGATGACTCTGCAACAGAAGAGATACTGGATCCTGACTTTGGAGAGGCAGCAATTGGCCGGGTTGCACCGGTTGATTCTGGTAACTACAGGACATTTGATTTAGTTACATCTAAAGGAGCAATTATTTTTTGCATCATGTATTCAAGAATAGTTCCTTTGCTTGTGGTGTGGTTCTCAGGATTATGGTGGATTATTTTGTTGCGTGCATATGGCAAATGCTCTGGAGATTTATCTGTTCAGGAGAGAATTGATGTCCAAACTGGAATTAAGATGATATTAAGGCTATGTCTGGCTGATGGCTTTGATATGTTTCCGACATTATTAGTGACTGATGGTTCTTGCATGATAGATCGCCGAATGGGAATTCATGGTCATCCTCTGGAGATCCAGGCAAGGAAGTCATTTGAATCATTGTTTTTTAATATATTGCATTCAATTCTCTAGGCCAGTAATTGCACGAAAATAAGTATGAATAGAGAGCTGCTTTAATTCCTTTCCTTCTCCTATCTACCAAAGGGGGTCCACATACATGTTACATGTGCATAATAAAAATATATGTGCTTATGTTTTTAGAATGAGTACTGAAAAACCTCCCAAGTTTTTTTTTTTATTTTAATTATAGTTCTGTTATTTGATAGAATTCATCTTTAAACTATTTATTGGTATGGAAAATTCAATGTGAAGTTGACGGTCCTACTTCTTCCCGTGACTTGCTAAGATTCCTTCTGTTTTCTATCGTTATCTATATTTTAGCTTTTTTTTAATCTGTTATAATCATAATGTTGTAATATTATCAAGAAAACTCAAATTATTGGTTGTATGTTATTATGTAGAAGGTAAAGTATGTTTTTATACATTTTAGAGCTTATCAGAGCGTGCATCATCCAGACAGAAAAATAAGGAGATGAGGATTTTGATATTTGATATTTTTAAGATCAAGGATACTGAAACCTTGTGGACCATTTTATATGGTTAAAACTGAGGGTTATTGGTGATACATTTGTCACATGCTGCTAGAATCAAAGTTGATGAGGTAGAATTACAAGGATTTCAGGGAAATTGTATTTTGGGAGTTTTTTATGTTATTTGTGGGATGCTTAGAAATAAATGATCCCAAATGTGGTTTCAGGCACTATTCTATTCAGCACTACTCTGCGCACGTGAAATGCTTGCACCAGAGGATGGATCAGCTGATCTTGTCCGTGCTTTAAACAATCGCCTTCTTGCTTTGTCATTTCATATAAGGGAGTATTATTGGATTGATATGAGAAAACTTAACGAGATTTACCGCTACAAGACCGAAGAGTACTCATACGATGCTGTTAACAAATTCAATATTTACCCTGATCAAATTTCTCCTTGGTTAGTGGAATGGATGCCAAATAAAGGAGGCTATCTAATTGGGAATTTACAGCCTGCTCACATGGATTTCCGGTTCTTTTCTCTTGGAAATTTGTGGTCTATTGTTAGTAGCCTGGCAACTGTAGATCAATCAAATGCTATATTGGATCTTATTGAAGCCAAATGGTCGGATTTGGTTGCAGATATGCCGTTTAAAATATGTTATCCTGCACTTGAAGGCCAGGAGTGGCAGATCATCACCGGCTGCGATCCCAAAAACACGTAATTCTTAGTTGCTTAAATTAACCTTCTTTCTTAGTTTTTGAGTCTTCATTCGTATTCTTTGCCTTGTCATAAATTTTCGTTGTTTCTGATGCAGGCCTTGGTCATACCACAATGGAGGTGCATGGCCAACTCTGCTTTGGCAGGTAAAATTTGTCTTTAATGTCGACTGAGGTGCTCGTCGTATTTACTGCTGCATTATCCTAATTAAGTATGCAGCGTCCCCTTAGTTTCAAAATGATTAAGGGCATCCTTTAAATTGCATTTCAATTTCAACGTGGAAGTAAGCAGCATCCCCTTAGAATGATGTACGAATCATGCTATATAGCATTAGTGGTGCTTAACACCGATCTATATGGCAATGAGCAACTATCACATTGTAGGCTGCTGCCACATAATCGGTGCTAAGCACCACTAGTGCTACATAGCATTATTCATAACATAATAACCCCCATCAGCAGGAACTAAATTTTGAACCACGTAATTAAGTTTAAGCTAACAGAGAGGGAAAAGAATTATTTATCTAAATTTAGTCTTAAATATACCCTTTTACGTACCGTCCAAATTCATTTTTATGAAAGCTTTTACGAATTTACAATTTCTGTAAATGGGTGGTGTTTTGCGTGCTCTGGTGCTATGTTTAATCGTCTCATTTAAAAAGCTTAAGTTGTGAGATGAGAGTTGCATTTATTTATCAATTTAAATTTTGTCTTCAACTCTAATACATGAGATTTCACTTTTTTGGTTGCAGCTCACCGTTGCATGCATTAAAATGAATAGGCCAGAAATTGCAGCCAGAGCCGTTGAGGTTGCAGAGAAGCGCATATCAAAAGACAAGTGGCCTGAATATTACGATACCAAAAGAGCTCGCTTCATCGGGAAGCAGGCACATCTTTTTCAGACCTGGTCTATTGCGGGATACCTTGTCGCAAAACTTCTACTGGCCGATCCCAGTGCTGCTAAGATTTTGATTACCGAAGAGGATTCTGACCTTGTCAACGCCTTGTCCTGTGCTATCAGTTCCAATCCTAGGAGAAATCGTGGCCCAAAGAGTTCCCAGAAGTCGTACATAGTATGAACATGAGATGGTGTCTTGTCACACCAGCAGAATTATAGTTGATCTTCGGCTGCTTGCTTGTACAGATACTATTTGAAGAGAAGTGATGGCATTTGCAATTATTTGATACAAGGCTGGCAAGTGTATCATAGTTCTTTTCTTTTGTTTTCATTTTCTACCCTATTGAAGTTTCAGCTTAAATCCTTAGTAATCTGGTATAAGAGTCAATATTGAAACATCCTATTCTTATATGTACAATTTATCAGCCTACTGTTAATGGACATATCATTATAAAGAACAATTGACATTATTTATTCGGTATTGCATTTCGTTATTAATTCTCGAATCGTATAATTGGAACGGATAATTCTACTTGTACATTATGCCATCCATAATGGATGACATAATGTACAAGTGGAATTATCCTATTGGAGGGTGTGCCGATGGGCCAGCACACCCTCCAATAATGTACTGCCACTTGTGCATTATGGCATCCATCCATAATGGATGCCATAATGTACAAGTAGCACAACCCCGTGAAAAAACAAGGCAAGTTGGAGTTGGATGTAGGTATCTATCCCTTTCATTTGCAAAAATCAGGAAAAATTTGGAATACAGTGGGATCCGATTCGTGGCAGTTGTGTGTAGTGAAAGACGTTAAAAAGGGATAAAATATCCTACTCAGTCATACTTGTCTCATTTTTGGATAATGTACAAGTAGCACAACCCAATTGGAACACTGCAACTTGTAGGGATATTCAATATACAGTACTAGACATGACCGAGCAGACTTAATACCGTAGTTGGCCAAACTTGAATTGTAGCTTTTAATCTTCTTTTCATCCAGCGCCTTATGAGCGCTGTGCAAACTTGGAAAACGCCAAACTCAGCCATTGAGGCCCACGACTATCTAAACTAAACCAGGCTGCAACATTTGGGCAGACACTGAATCTTTGAGTTTACCAAGTAATAAAAGAATATGGAAATTAATTATATAGTAAAGTTTTTCGAAGTTTATAAACTGATAAAACATCATTTTTATCTACAAAAAGCTTTACTTCGTTCATTTTTGTCCTTGCCATTTATTTGTTAAGAGATAATTACATAGATTATTCATTTATTTTTATGTTATAATGTACATAGAAATCTTGAGTTCAATTTAAAATCATTTATTATTTAAAACTATCTGTGTGAACACTCCGAAATATCAAAGTATATTTTGATTGATTAACAGTAATACTTTATCAGGGAAGAATATTCTTCGAGAGTAGTATTTATGATTTATTATATTCATAATTGTTTAAGATACTAATATAATCCATGCTGCTGCTTTCGACAACATCATCTAAGATATAGTATGCTCTGCTGATTTTGTCACTATGGCACCATTCATTTGCTTAGTAATATTCTAAATAATTATTGATGGTTGTAACTAGTATCCATGGTAGATACATGGCATGACCACCAACACCGATTACTCAATCACAAAGTAGACATATCAAGCCAATGACCACATATTGACTCATGGTCATCTCGACCGTCATCAGATTCGGATCTTATCTTTGAATGAAAGTCGACATGTCATCTCATCAACCATATAATAATTTCATTAAGTCGCCCATTCCTGTATGGATTTACTAGCATTTTTAATCATGTGACTGCTTGTCGTAACTAACTACTTAAGTATGACTTTGATTATTGCTATAGGGCATGACGATTACAAATTTGGTGAAAAGGGCTAGGTAATAGTCACCAACCACAGCTATCCCAAACCTAGTTCAACATTAGTGCACGATTATGAAATTTGAATTCATTTCCTTCTTCTTCAATGCTAACATTGTATGACACAAGTATAAGAGTGCTTTCGACTAGTGAACTCGTATCTTTCTCGATGATTGATGAATTTGACTGTGTTCGTACGTGGCCAAGTGATAATATGATTTGGTTTCTACTCCTTACTATCTATTGAAGATTACAACAGGATTATGATGTCTACAATAATTATTAATCATAGGGATTTGAATAATAAATTAATTAATTAAAGGGACATAGCTCCATACCATTCAAACAGCCGGCAGAATGACCCAGCCCCCTATATTGCCGCCCCAAAACATTCCCTACCATATTCTACCTGCACTCATTCTTGAGTTCTCTATATATCTGTTTCACGCGGAAATCGAGCATCGCTAACAATTAAAAGATGGTTCAGAAGATTGTGTAATGAACAACAACCTCTCGAAACAAAATCTCAACGATGGGTGTTTTATTGATGAAGATTACAATATGGACAAAGCAAAATGCCTCCAAGGGGCGCAAGCACACGAATTCTAGAAGAAAATAATTGAAAGTTAACTAGAAATGAAATTACATAATTCTCTATTTGAGAGTTGTTTTGATCTCTTTTCTCTTGTAAATTCTTTTTTTTCTTTTATACTCATTTGACAGTTTCTCTCTTGTAAAACCGTTTGAAAATTCCGGAAACTGCCCATCGTTCTGTAACTACTCACTTTCTCCATCATGGATAATTTGTTAAGAAACTACCGTTTTCAACCGCTGCCATTACTCCCATCATTTAACTCCTTACAACCGAGATTCTTGGATCATGGAATGTGATTAAATTACCTATTAACTGCTTCAATAACCGTTGCTCCGAATAGTAACTAAAACACTATATTCGCCCAGATCTTGGGCGTCTCGCGGGCTTGAGCGAGGATGGGCCTTTATTACATAACTCTGTCTTGGATTTTTATATGGTCTCGTTTGGGTTCATCATTTGAATTTCCTAACTGGGCTTTACTCCTTGGACTATTTAATTGGGCCTCATTTTTGTATGTCAACAATATCGTTCATCTTTCTTCACACCAAATTACTCCACCATGCAAAAATATATGGAAGAAACAGCCATAGCCTCGACAATACTCCTAGCTCTGCCTCCACCGCCTCGGCGGCAGCAACCGATGTCCCCGATATGCACCTTGCAACACTTGATGACTTTACCTTCATTCAGAAGCTTGGAAGTGGTGACACACATAGGCCCTATTTATCTTGTGGAGCTCAAAGGGTCTAAAGTGGTGACACACATAGGCCCTATTTATCTGTGACAAAGAGAAGTTGGCTTATAGGAACAAAGAGAGTAGGGCGGGGATAGAGAGGGAAATACTTGAAACCATTTTTGCCCTCACTCTATACTATATTGGATTGTCCTAGGTGGTCTTGTTTGTTGACCGATTTTTGTCTCGGCGGCGACCTTCACATTCTCCGGCAACGACAACCCGGAAAAAGGTTCGACGAAGCTGCTGTCCGGTGAGTATTTGTTCACACCCTTCACATTTGTGCACATCCTATTTTTTGTGAAATTTTAATTTACTTCACTACGTTGAAGTACGACATCATTTTAAAAGTTAATTATTAGATAAGGATGATTTACTTAATTATTACATGTTAAGTGAAATAAGAGCTTTGCTGCTTGTACAAAAGCAGAAGCCACAGAATTTCACCCGAACGTGCACACACACACACGTGGGTCTTGCATAATTTTTTTTAACACATGGTGATGGTGGGGTCCACTCATTGAGAGTTTCATGGTGAAATTCTATGGGAATATCTCTGTACACGGGGGAAAATGCATGAAATAATTGTAATGTCAGTATTGAGTGAACCGGGGTATAAATTTTAGTACCGAAAATTGGTTCAAAATTATTCTGTCATTTTCAGTATATACGGTTGACTTTGCGAATAATACAAATAGAATAAGTTAAGAAACTGTCAACTCATTAATTGATTAATTTTAGAAACTACTAAAAATTTATAAATGCGATTTGATGATTGCTATTGTTAATCATCATGTTCTATGCATCTGAAGTGGTGGCTGCTCTAGAATACCTACACATGTTAGGGTTAATTTATCGTGATTGAAGCCTGAAAATATTTTGATCACATAATGTTGACAGATTTTGATCTCTCGTTAAAAGTGTGACAACTCAACTTCAACGGCACAACTTGTTTATGATCATACCTAGTCAAAAACTTTTCAGTCAAGCGATCGAAGAACGGATCCATTAATTCCATTCTCGATGAAAATTATGCATTCTACCGAGTTGTGTCGTTCCACAAAACTCCTGCTTTCATGGAAAGAAGAAGAAGTCAGGATACAGCGGAA